GATAGCACTCTATACAGATAAACTCCACAACAAACAATAACAAATGCAACTGATAATCCTTTATGGATCCAGTAAAACTTACAGTTACAGTGGTAAAATATTATGCACTGATACAGCGCACAGTAAATGTGATATGTAATATTAAAAAGTATATGTAGTATAAGTTGTAGTAAAGTGAATAATATAAAAAGCGAGTACAACAGCATATAATAGATTTATAATAGAATAAATTATATGTATAATACCAAAATAAATAAATGAATAACAATAGATGAATAATAGCAAGTAGAATATGTAATATCAAGGGTGGAATAATGAAGAATAAATTAATAGTAAATTATAAAGTAAAATAAATCATCATGAAATGTAGTTTTATAATAGTATTATGTAATAATTATTAAACAAAGTAAGAAACAAGTAAGGGGGTGGTTAGAATATGACCAGGGTAATTCTGGCCATTCATTCAGGGCTATTCTGGGTTTTAACTAGTACTAATACAACATTAGGCTGTGGAAGTATAGCCTACTCTCAGAGAACTAATGCAGAGAACAGGCTTTCTTCAGCTTTCTTTAAGGCCTGTGTTGTCCTGTTTGCAATTGGCTAAAAAGGAATTATATATATATATATATATAATAAGTCCACAGATTTATGATAAGCTTTCAAATCCTTATAATCAAGTGAGGATAAACTTACTCTTTGTAAATAAGTAACGTTAGTGAAATTAAAGAGAGATGATTTAGCTCCATCCCTAATCCCGACAGTCTGGCATTGTCTTGTCAAAGTGTTCTCACTGTACATATTGTGCTCATAACACAATTTACTTTATGATATAAACTACAATATGAAGTTAAAACTTAAGAATTAATTTAAACTTTGATTTTATATAAAGTCTCAGCTTTCACAGCTTACTAGGATATCGCTAGCTATTAATAGTCTGACATTGGTGGCTAATTAAGCTGTCAACATAAAGCTAAAAATTACCAAAAAGCATACAGAAACAACTGTTCAGTCTTACCTGTGAAAGATAATACCCTGAGGTATGTTTGTATTATTGTGCGACGGTTTGTAGATGCCCAAGCTGCCGACGAGTCAGGTATGTTTTCGCCTGTCCCGATATGAGTTATGGAGAGTTGCCCGCACCAATATGGCGGCGACGTTGACGTGCGGTCGAGCGGCCAATGAGGCGTCTAGGTATTTATTATGTCTATGGTTGACACGGTCAAATTTTACGCATTGCGTTTAAAGACTTTTGGCCCCGTCCGCCTTCCACAGTGGCGTATGGCTTTGCAATTCTGCACCAGAGCACGTTGAGAACTGTGCTGAGCGTGTTCAACGTCGCTGGTTGCTTAGCAACCTCTGTACACAAAGAAGTAAAAAAAAAAGAGTTAACTAAACGTGTGAAGCTAATCGGGTGCTTTGGATGGAAAAAACGACAAAAAGCATCACAAATATAAAACAATGGTAAAGCAAACGATTCAAATCTTTGCCCGTGTGAAACCGACGAAGAACCAGACCGCGGTGAGTGTTTTGCGTTTGTGTTCTTTTAAAAAAAAATGGTTTTACTTCGAGTACACAGTATGTATGTATATACATTTTACATTGCCTTACCTATCTTAAGAGTTAATACGAGTTAAATGCATGTGTTTTCTATCAGGGGCTGCAGTGTTTAATGTCTAATACTTTTTTATAAAAAGAATCTGGTTTAAATCACATGAATACTACTTATAAACCGCTACAAAACACAAACCGTAATGATCTCTAATTATTAGCATTGTTTATATATTTGTTTACATCATAGCATGTCTGTCATTTTCTTTAGTCTAATATTTTTGTCTTAGTGATAGAAAATATTAATCATAAAAGAAGGTGATATACCATTCACATGTCTACATTAGCAAGATTAAGTGTGCTCATGCTTAACACAGGAGTACTTTGTGGACTGTGAGGAGCAGGGCGGTAGTTTGGAGTTTGTGGTGCCCAGGGACCTGGCAGATGGTGTTATCAACAATAAGAGGGAAAACTACAAATTCAGGTGATGTGGAGGAAAAATTAGGGAGAAATGTAATATAATGAAATTATAGGCTTGGTTTCCCAAACATGATCTGCATTTAATAATTAATATTCTTGCATGCTTAATGAAGCATCCATTCAGATATGAATGGTGTATTTACTGTGGTCACTATATATAGAAACATGAAAGTGCATTTTTCTCTCTCTGGAACTCTTTTTCAAATTATTCAAATGTTGCGTATTTTGGAATTGCACAACAAACATCAATTCGTTTTGTGTAAATCATTTCCATTTATTGCACCAGCAGGATTTTCTCCAGTTGTTAAAAGAGGCAGTCCACATGCTCTTTGCTCATCCCATAATTATGGCATTAAAAGCTAATTCTCATTATTATGTCAAATCTCTTGGGACATTTCCTGTTTAAATAATAATAATAATAATAAATTGCTCTATAAATAACAACATTTTTAAATGAAATTAGAGCCGATTTAGTGTTAGTTAAGCATGTAACCAAAGTATAAGTAAAAGCAAAAGTTGTTTTCATTTGTCTTTAAACAACCTATTTCCACTCAAATATTTCTTCACTACAGGTTTCAGAACGTTTTTGACCAAACAGCCAATCAAGAGGAAATCTTTGAGGCCATTGCAAAGCCTGTTGCTGATAAGTGAGTTGAAATTGTCTCTTCTCTGAAAATTTCTGCTTGAAAGGCATGCTTGCGCAAGCATACATTTCAAAAATACATGTTTATATTAATTTAAAAAACAATAGATATGTACTGTATACTATTCAAAATGAATAGTAGAAAATGAGTGGTGAACTGAAGAGGAGAAGCTGGGAATCTGAAGGGTCTGGAGTGATTCTGGATGAAGAAATGGTCTCTGATCTCTTGTCAGATGTTCTCCAAACTCATTAGGCATTATAGGTGAAGACTCAGAGCTGTTCTCTTGGCAAAAGGTTGATGCAAAAAGTATTGAATAAAAGGGTACCATTAATTGTGGCCAACATGTATAGAGAAAAGCATTTATTTCATAATGAGATTTCCCCCCATTTTAAATTCTTATTCTTTAATGAAAGGTTATATTTTTGTACATTTTTAAAAATATAAGATCAATAGGATTAACAATGCAGATTTATTTTCACAGCCTTTTTTGATCATATTTACCAAGGGTGCCAACAATTCTGACCACAACTGTACATGAAAATGTTTGTAAAATGGCACAGTTTTTAAATATCTGAAAGTACACTCTTAACATCAGTCAGTCAAGCATCATAATATGATAATCAAGTATTATTTAATGATAGAACTTTAGTAATTAGAATTTAAACTTGATAACCATGTATGAATGCATATTAGTCATTTTAACTGAACTGACTGGTGGTGGTGCTTTTTGGTCATTCAGTGTTTCTGTAAAAAAATGGGAAAAACCTAACAAAAATACTGATAAGATAATAATGATACGAATTCTACTAATAAGGATTTAAATTTAAAACTCACTAAGGATTAATGAGCTTCTGGGTTCATGAATATTAATTAGGTTGTGTGTGTTCGCTCAAACTGATTTGCTGAAATCAAAACAGGGACGATAATAGGTGAGCGCCAGCCAATGAGATTGCCGTTTGCGCATTAGTTCCGCCCACTACCGGAAAACCCGGCAGTTCTTAAAAGCTAAAGAATTCCAAAGGAACGCTGTTATTTTGACAAGAAAATACAACAAAGAATATCGTTTACATGTAGCGCGTCAATTCTCTCTCTCTGCGTGTGTGTGAGACAAAGTGACAACAAGGTGTGCGCCTTCACACTAGAATTTACGGTATGTTAAATACAGGTGCGCTGCGCATCCATTTAGATGAACTGAAAAATAGCACAGATTGCTTGACGGAGAGTGAGGCTGCATTTACACTGCAAGTCTTAAAGGGGTCATATGATGCAATTTCACTTTTTCCTTTCTCTTTGGAGTGTTACAAGCTCTTGGTGCATAAAGAAGATCTGTAAAGTTGCAAAGACTAAAGTCTCAAATCCAAAGAGATATTCTTTATAAAAGTTCAGAGTCAGCCACACCTACCTAAAACAGCTCGTTCTAACACTCCCCCACATATCTACCTCACTATGTGGGAAGATTTGCATAACGCCGCCAAAATGTTCATGCAAAGAAAGAAGGTGTAACTTTTATTCTCACTGTAGTATTGTTGACACTGCAGCCATGTTGTGAAGACGCTGTGTGCTTTATTTTGAAAGCGAAACGACTTTGTTTGGTCTTCCAAAAGAGGACGATATCCGCTTCGTCATGCCTAGAGCTGATCTGTGCTGGTCGCTGAGGGAATACATCAACTTTCACCGTGAACGAAGCGGAGTTCAGCCCGGGGTCGTCACATGTGGTTGCCGCTCATTCGTCGGATCTGCCGGGCGTGCCGTTCTCGACCCCCTCAGCTCACTCTCTAATCAGTGCACACTAGGCCGGCTTCCCCTCACGCTAACCTGGCCTCAGCTCACTCTAGCCCGGCCTCAGCTCACTCTATCCCGGCCTCAGCG